TCTGCCAGGTGATTGTGCCTCGCAGCAAGTGGGATAGTTCACGTGCCTGAGTGCTGGTCGTCTGGTTCGTTGCCTCGTTCGTCGCATTGTTCCTCGCCTCGTCGCCGTAGTTCCACATGGGGAGACCCATGATTGCGACGCGCTGCGCGTGATCAGCTTACATCTCTTGGAAGATGAGCGAGGATTGTTCACCGCTCGAACATGTGGGGGAATACTGACTGCTGGATCAAGATCTTGATGATTGTTTGGGTGTGTGTGACGGGAGAAGAGCGTGAGAGGAGAGACAAATGTCCACGTACAGCAGAGGACACCGCCTATGTTTCCAGAGGTCCAAGCTTCCGTTCAACTTCACTGACATCAGGCACTAAGCATCCAGCAAACCGCTTCGTCCAAGATGACATCATTCAGAACATGAGGTCTTCTTCCTCGCTCATTTCCTCGCTCCCTTCCACTCTTACTTTACTCTCACGATAGCAGTATCTTGATCTTCGATCCCTTCTCCCCTCCCCCCCAATTGTCGAAATAAAGTTGATCTCTTTACCCAATCCTCCCGTCACCCACGTCAGCTCCTCGATCCTTTGCGTCTCCTCGTCGACAAGCCCGCAAACCCTACGAATCGCAGCAAATTGGGCGATCTATCCCAGCCAGCTTCTCCATGTGCTCTCTCTTCGCGCCATCTGCTTCTTCCGTGGCGGTAGCCTCATGTTCCGTCTTGTAGAATTACCAGCGGCGTAACGACCCTGAAGGAGCTGGAGGTTTCGCTCCCGCTCGAAACTTTTGTTACGGGCGGTGCGAGCGTTGTCGCGGATCTGACTGTTCGTGTCCAAGTCTTGCAGTGGCATGGCGGATGCGCGGGCGACCTCTATATTTGACCGTCAGCGTTAAATTCAAACAGTAATTATGAAGAATGTGGTAGAAAGAGAAATCACCTTACTTTACAATTCAAAGGCCATGATCTTCCGCAGAGTACCTATTCGAGTCATCCATGGTGTCTACCTGGATGCAATCGCCGACGCTATCATCGACATTTTTGTTGTTTCCAACCTTGGCATGCATGTCCCAGAAGTCCTCGATCCGCATATCAGAGTCACGAAGAATGCGAGCCATGACTGCCACGGTTCCATGGCTGTGGCAATATGTGGAAGACTGTGTTTGCGTAGAGCAACGTCAGCTTGGAGAGGGAAAAGGGTGGAATTGAGAACAAGTACCTTAAGGGGTGTATTTGGAGTCGCTGATTCCCGGTATAGCCTCTAATTGTGCTGAGGCTTTGCGGGTAGCGATGTCAGATCCGAAGAAGAAACCAAGACGACAGAATGTCCTGTAGATGGTTGATTCCGGCTTGAGCCTTGCTGCAGGACTTCGACTTCATGTCGCTCCAGGGCGCGCCCAGCATCTTGTCACCAAGGAGCCACCTGTCACCGGAAGTTCTACTCCTTTCCCGTCTTGTTGCCGACTCCAGAGTGTAGTACGTGGGATGACAGTCAAATCCCACTCCGGGTCGGGCAGACTGACGTCGCATACGATTGGCTATTTATTTCTCTTTCAAATCTTGGCTTTCCATGAGGCCTCCGTGGGTGCTCCGTGACCACATGGGTAAAATTTTATAATTCCGTATACGTAGTCCAAGCAAGTTTCTGCGCGGCGTTGGCGCCGCAGTGTCGTCACTAGTGTATGAGAATTCGATGGATGCGTGCACAATGTCCGGGGTTGTTGAGTGGCATATTAACAACGCGTTCATGAATCCTACAAACAGGTAAAGTAAAGTAGTTAGCAGAATATCCAAGCTTGAAAATCTTTCCTCCAAACCGTGGACGGGCGGGATCGTACACCGGAGCAACCGCCGTCGCATTCGGGAATCTCACTTCAGGCAGGCTGACGTCTAGGGATTCCTCTGGATGCTCCATCGCATACCTTACCGCACGCATTGGGTCGAGTCCATGACTCTCTGGTGACCAATTAATGATGTTATTGCCGAGCTCAGAGAGCCGGATAGCTTGTTCACTGGCGTATATTCGTGGTGACGGCGTAGGTAACGGCTCCGAGTTGGTCAAGAAAACAGGTCAGACGAAATATAGTGCCGACAAAAGACAGCAGATGAGCTGTAAAGATACCTGAGAGAATCAATGTTTGGAAAAAAAAAAACACGGAGAGTTGTTACAGGTCACAGAAGCAATTGCAAATAATATGGAAACGGCACAAGAACAAATTCTTGTCACCCTAAAGGAGATACCCAAGTTTGCTAAGAAGTCGCACCGGAACGCCGTTGAATGACCCACGAATAGACTGCCTTCATGTTGTAGAAGTCAAAGACAAACAGAACGAAAGTCCCGTGCAAACAGCCAAAAGCTGATCATGGTGAGCCAAATGTCCGATTGCCGATAGTAGTTCACTTTACTTGTTTCGGTACTCGAATTCCGATTGATAGACGTGTCCAGCTACTTGCCAGTGTTGGCTGTACGCACGTTCAGGATGCCCGTGTGCTAATTGTCAAGCACAAAATAATTCTTCCCGGAGATAAGATCTAGCAATCATGCGTACGGACTCAGGCTTGCAATCAAAGCACGTGAAGACGGCCTGCAAAAGCTGCGATTATCAGCTGGTCACAATCGAAGTATAATGAGAATACCAGGTGTTATGAATTCTGTGTTTGTTATTCTTGAAATACGCTGTGGGTCAGGCCTAAAACTTGGGGATGAACATGGGCACGTTCTTCTTCCACTCCTGGTAGTCCTTTCGGTCGCCGTATCTCTTGTCGTATTTGTTCTCGCTCATCGGCACACCCGAAACCTAGACAACATTAGCTCGAACTCCCGAACCCAAAAGTCACGGCATCATTACTAGGGAACATACCTTGAGCAGCAAGAAAGTAACAAAAGCCGGGCTGACCGCGCACATAGCCAGCGCCGTCAATTGACCACCGAGACCAAGTCCCAACCCCAAACTACTCAAACCAGCTTTGCTAGCCAGAACACCTCCAGCAAGGGTCGCGATTCCCGTCCACAGCGTACTCTCGCCGAAATAGTTTGGGTGTCTACTCTTTCCCCACAGTCCCTCAGTAATAAAGTCCTGGTCATGCTTCTTCTCCTTCTTCGCCTCCATCCAATTGCTCTTCTGTCTATCAGCTGTCGCCTCGAACGTGATGCCGAAAATGTATAGCGCGAGGCCAATGACATCGGTTAAGGCGATGGCTGCGGGGAGAGCGGAGAAGGCGGTGGCGGGAAGGCTATTGAGAGCGATGACGGGCAGGGTGCATAGAGAGACCCAGGTCGCCTGCGCCATGAAGGCGCCGAAGAACTTGGGCGTTGAGCCGCGGATCTCTTCGAAGCGGGAGTCTTGGCCGTTTTCGGCGGTGATGCGTTTGAAGAGGAATGATCCCACTGATCGCCCAGTTAGCTTTCGTTGGCAAGCACCAGGATGTCTGCGTCTAGGAGAGCAGCTTACAGCGTATTGCCCAGATGCTGACAGCAGCACTCAAGGCCAATTGTCTCCAATTCCTACTTGCCAGGCCCATTATACTCATGTCGACGATCTGACCTGCAGCTCTCGCCCTTAGAAGAGGTAGGTATAGACTCAGTCCGGTGCAAGCAAGGTACGTGATGGAGCCGGAAAGGTCGTAGAATCGCTCCGTCCGCGCGGCGATGGAAGGCACCGCGACAGCAGCTTGGATGCCGAACGCAAGAGCTACAGACGGGATAAGGGTACGCAGGATGGGCGTTTTGAATGCCGTCATGTGCAGCAAGGTGGATAGGACGGCCATGATGGACGAATGTTCGAGTCGCGATTTACTGAAATGGTTTGGATAGGCACTATGTTGGCGTTGGAGACGGCGGTCGATATGTAGGCTTGTTCGGAGAGTTGCAATGGCCGAGCAGAGGATTGAGATGATGTCGTGGCTGAAGGAGTGTTTGGAGACGCGCAGTCTTGGCTCCACTGAGCCAGATGCGGTAGTGCTCACATGCTGATTGTGTTTGTTGGTTGAGATTTTGGCTGCGAGCCATTCCGTTCCACGATCGACATCATCAATCCGGCCCCTCGTTCTCCCGATGCGGAAAACGAAGCAACGAATGTTGTCCCGAGCTCCGCAACAACAACGCCATGGAAGCAACAAAGCAAGCTGCAACGTCAAAGTATCGACATGTTCAAGAGTAGTGGCTGATTTTAACCCGAGGCTTTGTACACTTCATCGTAGCCAGATTACGCAGGCGAAATCATAGTTTTGAGTGAACAATTTATTAATCCCCCTGGCATGGATCGGATCATACCCTTAATATGTTGCACATCTTATTCGCTAAGCTTTCCATCCGTGTAGAACGTACTCCAACGTTAGATTTCGCGTATACATAGTGATGTAAACACCACGAACGGATTGCGGACAAGTCTTCAATTCGTTTTGATCTTGGGTTTCCTGGGTTTGTCAATTTATATCGGCGACTATCATGGGAAAGTTCCGAGTTTACGCATATCGACTGTCGAAAAACACAAGTCAAGCGTGAACCAAAAATTGAGAATAGAAGAAGACACCAGAGAGCTTCCAAGGCTAACATAGTGGAAGATAATGATTGCGGAGTAATGGACATCCAGGCGAGGGACCGTCGGACTGCGGATGTAATCATTTCAATACAACACAGATATCAATCCAAGCTCCGAGAATTCCAAGAAAAAGATGTGCGCAAAACCTATGCTACCGCTATCTACAAACCTTGATTGATCGCGAGCTCGGCCACGCATTCAAGGTCATACGGAAATAGATGACGGGAACGGGAAAGACCATACAGCTGACGTTCTGCAGACATCACAATATGAACACCATGCTGATGCTGGAAAACAACACTAGATGCACGTTCAAACTCCTCCACCTCCCTTCCTCGTTCTCTCCATCAGCTCGGCCAAAAAGCAGAGCTCACCACATGTATAGAGTCGGCATTCATCCTCTACATCCTCATGCAAAAAGGAGCCAACAGTGTATGCCAAAAGGGATGTTCTATTCACAAAAGAGAAATTTCCGTCACGGGGAATTGAACCCCGGCCTTGTCGGGTCTCCCAGAGGATGAGAGCGACAAATCCTAGCCACTAGACCATAACGGAGTTGATTCAACTGTTGTGCTGTTGATGGGAGGGTTCTGGTGGGTTGGGTTTATGTGGTGAGAGCCGGAAGTGGTCCGGGTGTTGGGCCGAAGAAAAGAGTTTGCGAGGTCGGTCCGATGGTAGGAGCGCGAGGGATGCACGGGCGTGGTGGTCGGGTGGTCCAAGGTTCCGAGGGTCCAATCAGCGGGTCTGGAGGGGCTTGCAGTTTTGCACCTTCGTGTCGTCTTGGGTGGTCCCAGCCTTTGAGATGGGCAGGACTGTCAACGGTGGGCCGGACGAGACGGCGGGTTGATAGATGCAGACAATGAACGCAAGACGGATTCGTAGCTGAAAGGTTCATCCATACGGAAAGGAATGTAGGCATGTTGGTGCAACTCTCAAAGCCAACCAGGAGGAAGTTCGCTGAAATCCGGATCCCATACAGAGGTACTATCTTTGCTTCGTCTTGCAGTGTCATCAATTCGGCTTGTTTTCCATAGTGATGTGTATGCAGCTACCGTTGCAGGTTGTGGTGCAGTTACTCGTGACTGGGAAATAGTACAGCTCGCGTTTGTAGGTTCCGTAGCCCAAGCGTGGTTTTTTTGTGAGCTCTTTTTCTTGTTCCTCAACCACGAACACCACAACCACTGCCTGCATCTTCACTGCATAAGAGCCTGAGGGATGTAGCTTGTTTCCAGTAGCAAAGAATCCTGAGAAGGAGGTTTGTGTCCGAATATAAAGCCTCAAGCTGGAAGTTATTCTATCAACCAACAGTTGATACAACAACTGGCCGCATGGCCCAATGGCAAGGCGCTTGACTACGATGCGTAGAATATCAAGAGATTCCAGGTTCGACCCCTGGTGTGGTCATAATAATAGCTCCTGAACAGGAGCATTCCTTTTGATAATTCTTTTGTTCGGGGTGACATTTTTTGCTCGGCAGATCCATGGATAGGACCGGGGAAGAACCGGGTCAGCCCGACGCCAGATCACTTGGCTCACGGACCCTGAGACGTCATTGACGGTGACGGGAGCTTGGAGACTGGGAAGGAGAGATATGGAATTGAACTGGGGAGAAATTAGACTGGTGAGGAGGCATGACACGAGACTTTTTGAGATGCATGGGGAGCAAATATGACTGAGCGAATATGTTAAGAGAATAAAAGATAAGGAAGACAATGATGGATCATTAGTAGATATCAAAGAGCCCTGCCTTACTCTCTGGTTGAGGGTGTAAATAGAGAAGGTAGTAACTGTCACCTTGGTGTAACTTTCCGTTGACGTCAAGGACGAGATCGAGGCGGCCACTCGAAGCAGAGGCAAGTCAACACCGTTCGTGAGAGATCCGAGTGTTCAATTCTTCAACAAAACGTGCGAGGAGAATTGAGCATAAGAGATTGCCGTAATTCGCAAAGAGACATGCTGGTATGCATCGTGGCTTGTTGGTGATGAAAGGAGTCGGAGGTGTTGGTGACCCCCGCGGCTTTCAGGGCCCGCGCTTTGACCATGCCGTTCGACCTGACGGCATCGCGCGACCGCCGACGTCGTCCTGCTGCAGTCACCTCAAATTCAACTCACATCACCACCATCCGGTGCTCTCGCGGACCATGTTCTCAAGGCTACATAACATTCTCTACCAGCGCGACTTCGATCTCGTGCACCACCTCCCTAGCGCCACCTAAAGCCGCAAACAGCTGATACCGCGAGCCAGTACGTGGGCCGTAATCACCATCGTAGAGGACCTACTGATATTACAGTCTAACAGACAACATGGCAGAAACTCCTCACCAATCCCAAAACAACGCCCCTTCTCCCAGGGCCTACCAGGTCGTCCTGGCGCCTCCCTCTGGCAACATGGCTGCGATGACCGAAGAAACCGCCATGTCCGACTTGAGCATATCATTCCGGCGGACCGAAGACAACGAATACGCCTTTCGTGTACCGACACCACCCCGAATCGTCGTTCCACCTCCAGCACATAACACGGACATGATTATCTGCCTCAACGTGCGCCAGATCATGCCACCCGATGGCAACAATCCGGACATGGCTTTCCTTGCAACCATCAATCAAGGCCGAGTCTTCATACACAACTCTGGGGTCGATTGGGCGTATGAAAGGCGTAGGATGGCGCAGGAGGTCACGCCGTACTTGTTCCTTGGCCCCCATAGTGCCGCCAAGGACTATGGCTTTCTCACCAGTCAGGGCATCACCATGTTGCTTGGAGTCATACACGAACGTACACCGGTCAACGCCGCACTACGGATCGCCAACGAGCTCGGGATCCAGTTCCAGAGCATAGGTCTCGCGAATACGAATGATCTTATCTCGACGTTTCCGAAGACCACGGCCGTGATCAACCGGCATCTCGCCGATGTTCAAGCGCGACTTCAGCATACGCCGCATCCTTCATACTCACACGGGAAAGTCTTTGTGTTCTGCGAATCGGGTAATGAGAGATCTGCCGCGGTGATTGCTGCCTGGATGATGGAGATGCTCGAACTCGACTTCGTCAAAGCGATACAACTCTGTCAATGCCAACGCTTCTGCGTCAACTTCGACGATAACCTCAAATACGTCATGCGCTCTTATGGAGATATCTTACAGGCGCGGCGTCAGGTGGCCTCTAGCAATCCTCCAGGCAGGAGACAACAAATTCTTCCACCGCCGAATTCCATGGAGTTTCCCACCGGAAACGTGGCAGGCGCAAAGCGGGGACTGGATTTAGAAGATTCCGACATGGGAGACGAAGACGATGATATGGAAAGGTTTCTGGGGCGGGACAATGCGCCATTCCGGGACGCGAAATAACGACTTATGAATTACGCTGAACGGTACTCTTGCATTGCGGTCATGGTCCAAACGACATCATTCAAAAGCGGCATGTTTGTAGAAGGATTATACCCCGTGGCTTCTTCCCTTCAGCCTTTGCTTTCTTTCCCTAGACCTTTAGCAGTTTGTCTGGGCGCGCGTGCAGCGAGCAACCACTTCAGTCTTAGCAACACTACCACCAACATGGCGCCTATTTTAAGGGCCTGTGGCCGTTGATCTAGTACATGAACGAAGCCGACAGTACGTATCCTTTTTAGCTATAATCGCTTCTGCTCCTGAAACAACAAGGAACTTCGTTGCCCGACCGAATATCTAACATGATCTTGTGAAGACAGCGTGGAATTGTGGGCGATGTTGGCAATAAGAACGCGCTCTTCTGTAGTGTACAGAGTTAAAGTAAGTGGGATGGCCAGTTATGGATTTTCTTCATCAATTCTGTTGACGTTTCTCATGCCGCCTGTTTCCAGTGGCTGGAAGTCAACATTGTCTAAATCTCTTCAAAGATCTCTCCACCTTGGCCCATATGCGCTTCAAGAGAGGGCAAGCTGTTCTCAGGAACAGTTTGACTTTTCATGGACAGGTTTGGTTGGCACGCTGTAATTCGCCCTATGTCCTGCTGTCCTGCTGTTCCACCGCAAGGAGAGCGAAACATCACATGTCAGTACTTCACCGACTTGATGTCCTTCCACGCGTTTCTGCGATGATTTCATCGCCCACAGCAATTTCGCGCGTCGGGCTCAATTTTGTTTGTTGTGGCCTCTCCCACCCCACGCGCTGACCTTTTCCCACCCTCCACCACCCTCCACACCAGCTTTCTCTTCTCACCTCCACCACCAGCCCTTTCCATCAGACACTTTGGTCAAGATCTTCTCTCTCACCCAGCGCGCTGTATCACCCACCGCCAGCCTTTCTCTGTCACGTCCACCGTCCGCACCAGAGTTCTCTTCTCACCACCACCAACAGCCCTTTCCAAGAGACGCTTTGGTCAAGATCTTCTCTCACACCCAGCGCGCTGACCTATCCCCATTCTCCACTACCAACCCTTCCTTGTCACGTCCACCACCCTCCACACTAGCTTTCGCTTCTCATCTCCACCACCAACCCTTTCTCATCAGACGCTTTTGTCAAGATCTTACCAAAGTCGCTCATACTCGTCACATCCCAGACAGTCAGAGCAAGATGAGTCGTCGCCCACAGCGAGAGAACAGGCGTCCGCCCCGGCGCTTCGAGCCTAACTCGACCGGAAACGAAGCACAGTCTGAGCAGTCCAACCAAGGAATGTTGGGTCCCATCATCCTTACCCACGTCAACGACCGTCGTATCAGGCCGCGTCCGTCGCTTCCATTCAACCCGAACCTCCCTCCAGCACCCTTCCCAACTCTACCCCTCGACCAAAGCGAATGGACCCCAGAGCAGCGTGTCAGGGGTGAGCTCTACGCACAGCAGATGCGTGAGTACAGGGAGTCACAAACACGGGCAGCAAACTTGGAGATCTTGCGTCGTGCACGCGATGAGGCCGGGAGCAGCGATGGAGATCACGTTCCGAACAGCCGTCCCAGAAAGAGACACAGGGTCACAGCTCTTCAGCCCCCCACAAACACCACCAACGAAGACGATGACGGAGACAACATGCCATCAGTCGGCAATGCTCGCTCTCAGACGAACGGACCGTCCTTGCGTGAGTTGATGAGGCGCGTCAGCGACAGGTTGGCAGAGAATGAGCGCACTCTACACCAAAACAACATCCAGCCGGACGAAGATCCTATCGAGCCAGGCGATTGGAACCCTATTCCTGACATCGAGGATGAAATGGCGACTAGCGAGGAGGATGAGCCACAGCCCGAGAAGGTATGTTCCACAAATAGAACGAACCCTAAGCAAGCAATGCGCTACACTGATACGATTGAAACAGAACCCGTTCAGCGATCTCTCCGAAATCTACCAAGCAAGACTCGTCTTCAACATCCGCCGCGAGGCCCTCGAGGCAGCCTATCCCGACGCCCTGTACCCTATTCAACATCTGCTTGACATCCCAATGGAGCTTATCCAGGCCCTCGTTCAAGCCTACGAGCCTCACTTCTTCCACCGTCCCGCCGACGCTCCCGCCGACGACCCTCCCACCCGAGCTGAGCACGCCTACGCTACCAGGTACCTCAACCAGCGCCACTTCCCTCTCCGGTTCCTCGCCA